CCGGGACCCCAGCCTCCTCCTCCCTCAGACCCAGGAGTCCTGACCCCCCAGCCCCTCCTCCCTCAGACCCAGGAGTCCGGGACTCCTCCCCCTCCGCCATGGGACCCGGATGTCCAGGACCCTCGCTCCAGACCTTGGTCTGGAACTTTTTCTTGCGGTCCGGCAGCAGGTAGATCTTGACGTAGGGGTCTGAGAAGCCGTTGGAGTCCTTGGCCGGGAGGTCCAAGGCCTGCAGGATCCGCACCACCAGCTGGTCGGAGCCATAGAGGTACCGCAGGGCGAAGCTGATGCGGCCGCAGGGCGCCCCCGCGCCGGCCTCTCCCGAGCCCGGGGCCCCGCCGCCGCGCCGGCCACCGGGCCCAGTCCCCTGGTACAGCTCGGGCTTGATCTGCCCGATGAGTTTGGCTTTTTCCTCACCGCCCGGCAAGGGTAAGGGCAGGGCAGGCGGCCGCTCCTCGCTGCCAGGGTCCGGCTGGGGGGTCAGGGTCTGCTGGGTGAGGGGCCGCGGCAGGGCCGGGTACCTGCGGGGGGTGGGGAAGACCGAGGTGGGGCCGTTGGCTGGGATCTCTGGCGGCACCTGAAGACCTGGGAGACTCCTCCCTGTCTCTTCCCCAAACCCCGCATCCAAGTGGCCACAGATCCCCACCTTTGCTCACTATGACCTCGTGCAAGGCACTTGTGCTCTTTGAGCCTCAGTTTCTCCACCTGCGTTGGGGGGCGGGTACCCGGTCTCTAACTAGTTCCAGCTAGGATCTGCTTATGCACTGGCTCCCAGAAGCCTCCTCTTGACCTCGAGTGACCCAGAATAACTCCTCTGTGGACTCCTGAGGCCCCACGGAGCCCAGACCGCCTGGGCCTTCTTCAGATCTCCGTGTCCCAGCCAGGTTCTCACGTTTCCCAGCTGACCACCGCTCCGCCTGGCCTGGCCTGGCCCTCTCAGCTCCCTTCTCCACTGTCCCTAGTGTCAATGGGACATTCTGGAAGCCCAGGGCCCCCCTCAACCCCCCCATGGCTGCTTCTCCCCTTCTCACACATGCTGTCCCTGGACAGGCTCCTCTGTGCCCCAGGTTTCCACACCCATCAACAGCCTGCTGTCTGCTAAATCTGTGTCCTGGGCTCCGGCCAGATCCGCTCCCAGCCTCGACCTCCCACCAGGCCCTGCACGCCCCGCATGTCCCCTGCCGGGCTTAGTGCCTTCTCCCAGACCTGCTCCTCCTCCTGAGTCCCCCCCACCCTGTGCTCCCCCCCACCCGGATCTGCAGGCCACACACCAGAGCCGCCCTCACCCCCTTTCCCCTCAAAGCCCATCCCTCCCCTCTCCCGAATTTTCCCCGTCCTCGTGGCCCCGGCTCATCTGCCTTGCCCCGCCTGGACCATCACACCCAGGGTGAAGGCCACGTGAAGGCCACACGACAGGGCCCCTAGCGACGCGCGGTGCTGGCAGCCACGACTGGACGTTGCAGCCCCAGATGTGCTGAGAGGCAGGCACGGGCCTGGGGGGGAGGGGACGGCTCCAGCCCTGGAAAGTAGGGGAGGCTCCTTCTGCTACAGATCGTCCCGCCACTCCTTGCTCCCAGGGTGACTTTGAGCAGGCCATTGACACCCCCTGAGCCTCAGTTTCTCCATCTATATAATGGGGGAGGTGGGGCTCAGACCGGTGTATCCATCAGCCTCCGGAAGGCCTCCCCAAAGACCCCCACACTCTATCTCCCATGAGGCCCTGTCCAGGTCCTGGGATTAGAACACCTTCTCCCATGACTGTGTGGGGCCAAGACGACCCTTCTGAGAGGCAATTTCTCCCCGGATTCTGCCCCAGACACCTCACACTCTACAAGATCCAGACAAGCTCAGGGTCGCCCTCAAACCCATGCCCCCTCCTAGATCCTCTCACCCAGCATCCCAGCATCCACCCCATCACCAGGCCAGGCTGGGGGTTGTCAGCACCTCCCCCACCCCTCCTGCCTGACAGCATCAGCCCCAAGTCTCATCTCCCCTCCCCTGCCCTCGCCCTCTCCTCCCCATGCCCAGTCTCAGCTCAGCCTCAGCCTCTCCTGGCCTGCAGTCTGAGGCTCTAGTCCATCTCCTGTATGGCCCCAGAGAGGTCTTTCTGCACCCAGAACTGACCCTACCTGTCCTGCTCACAGCCCTCTGTGGCTCCCCAGAGCCCCTAGGACAGGGTCCCAGCCCCTCAGCCAGGCATTCAAGGCCCTGAATGCCCAGTGTGGTCTGGCCTCACCCACAGCCGCAGCCACATCTCCCTGGCTTCCTTTTTGCACACTCACTCTCATGCCACAGTGCCTGCTGGAAGTTCCCACAATGCACTGTGACCTCCTTCCCCTCTGGCCGTTGCACGGGCCGCTCTCTCCTCCCAGAATGCCCAGCTCGCACCCTTACCTCTGGGCCTGGCTAACTTCCTCACTCTGCAGCTCTCAGCCACGGCATTTCTGGAAGGCCCCAACCCCCTCCCAGACCGGGTCAGCGACTCCTCGGACTCCCACAGCTGTGGCCCCCTAAGCCACTTGCCTGCCGCACTGGCCTCTCTGGGGACCTGCTTGCCCTGGACTGTAAGTGGCATGAGGGCAGGGCCTATCTGCCGTGCTTACTTCTGTTTTTCCAACACCCAGCTCAGGTCTAGTTCATAGTAGGTGCTCTTAACATGCTCAGAGTGAGCAATAATGAACAAATGTATTCCAGGTCCCACCTCCTATCCTGGCTTAGGGTGAAAGAGACGAATTGCTTTGTGTCTCAGGGCCTCGGGGGTCTAATCCTCATTCTCAAGTCGTGTACTTTCTGAATCTGAGAGTCCAGGTCTCTCTAGGCCCCTCCTCCCTCCCTGGAGTTTGGTGCCCTAGCCTCTTCTCTCCCCAGGACCCAGGGGTCTACACCCCAAGCCCCTTCCTGCCCCAGGACTTAGGACTCTGAACCTCTAGCCTTCTCCTCTTGCAGGGCTCAGGAGAACCATATCTGGGAAAGAGACACAGAGGAGGATCAGAGGTTCTAAGTGGACCCCCAGCCCAGCAGCCTGTCTCACCTGGTGGTGGGTGCCAGGCTTGTGACCTGCTGATGCGACTGGGCACTGGGCAAGCCCCCACCACTGGGGGGCAGCAGGAGTAGCCCAGAGCCCGCACCTCCCTCAGAGGGCAGTTCAGGAGATGTCTGGCTCGGTTTGACCCCAGCAGCCACTGCAGCTGCCGCAGCCTCTGGATACGAGTCCATGTCCAAGTACGAGGGCTCAGGGGGGTCCGAGCCCCCTAGGCTGCCTGGCTCCAGCAGCTCAGCGAAGGGCGGGTGGTGGGCGGTGTGGGCGTGGTGGTGCGGACCCCCCAGCAGAGGATGGCCACCCAGGCCGGCCCCCAGGTGGTGCCCACCACCACCCACCAGGCCTGCCAGCCCGACCCCAGGGCCTAGGTCTTTGCGCAGCGGGCCCCCGCCCACCGCCGAGCCTCCCTTGTCCCGCCAGGGCACCCAGCACAATTTCCAGGACACGAAGAGGGAGACGCCCAGAAGGACAATGCCACAGAACGTCACGATGACCGACAGCAGGCTCACGGAGATGTCTGGAGAGAGTGAGGACAAAGGTCGGGGGTCAGGGTGGGGTCAGAGCTCACCCCCCCACCCCTGTCCCCGAAGAGCTAACCTTTAGCATTCGCCATGCATTGTCCTAAGCACCTGACGTCCGTGTACTTCACCTCCCCGGCCCCACGGGCTGCGTCTCTCTACATAACCGTTTTAAAGACAAGGAAACCGAGGCACAGAGAGGTGGAGCGACTTGTAAAACGCTGCACAGGTAGCAAGGACAGATCTGGGGTTTGAAAGAGCAGTCTGTCCTCAGATCTGATCCTTAACCACCAGCCCGTGCTGCTTCCCTAGAAGAGGGCACACCCATCGTCCCCCCAAATGCTCAGAGATGATCAAGCGGAGAGGAGACTGCGTGACTGCGTGAGAAGCGTTCAGATCTACATTCGCTGCTTGGCCCCGGGAACACTCCGAGCCCCACGCTCCCCATTTTCCAAACGGGAAGAATCGGTCTTGCCTCTTGTGGCGGAGGTAAAGGGGGCCCGTGGCTGCAGATGGGAAGGCAGATGCCTACTGAGTGGTTACTAGGTCCCAGGCACCTAAGTGCATTTTGGCATTAGCTTACTTGTGCCTCACAGGCGCCCTAGGAGCCTGGCAACACTCTGAACGCCTGCTTTCCACAAAAGGAAACTGAGATCAACAGAGCCAAAGTCTCCTATACCAGAGTCTCCCTAGGTCAGCGGTGGAGTCAGTACTTGACCCCGGAGCGCCTGGCCCCAAAGCCCACGGTCTTTGCCATCATGCTGTCACGCTTCACTATTTCCCAAGAAATGGTATTTCAGACATGGGTTATTATTAGACTGACAAATATTGTTACGCTTGGTAATGACAAATATTGTTACGCTTGGTAATATTGCTGCGGCCACGTGTACCCAGCACCGCCGGAAACCACAGCTAAGGCCTTCCGAATGCTTACTGTGTGCTGGTGTGCCTTTCAGAGAAGCCCAGGGACAGCCTAGTTCTTGAAGCAAAGGTTCCTGGGTCATCCAGGAAGTGGTGTCAGGAGTGGGATTCCTCCCGGAAACGTGACTCTGCTCTGGGATTGACTCCTGGGTCTCAACAACGGAGAACACAGGGGAATTTCATGCGCTGTACAGACTACAGACTATGGCGGGTGGGGAGCAGGTAACTAAGCTCTTGGCAGCAAGGACAGCTGAGTGGAACAGCTGTGTCCTGTCAACTGCAGGGGACTCTGGGTGGGGATGCCCTCCCGTCCTGAACTGACCAGTGACTCTAAGTCAGCAGTCTCTGGTGTTAATCCTCATGGCACTGTGATTGATCCCATTTTACAGACGAGGACAATGAGGCTCTGAGAGACAGAAAGTGACCCTGTGGGGCCATACGGCTGGCGACGACTGAACTCAAATTCCTACTCCCCTCCGCCCCTTAGGGTGTTCCTTTCCAAGTGACCAACATCTGCTTAGAGTTCTGGGGACCTGCTAAAAACCAAAGCAAGGGCTTTCCAACCTTCTGAGCCTGGGAAGAATGGAGAAAAGGGGCCCGTTTGGGAGGATGAGGTGGAGAAGAGGAGAGAAAAAGCGAAGAGCTGCCTTCCTCTACCACAGCCTGACCCAGACCCTCTCCAAGTCAAAACATCGATCCTGAAACTCCTACAGATTTCTTATTTCTGTCTGCCTGGTCTGGGGAGCCATTTGGGCTTGGCGAGGTGATGTAGCTGTGTGAAAAGATCAACCTTGCCCAAAGAAATGTTTGGCCCTTGATCGGCTCCTGGGAGGGAAGTCCTTGAACTTCCTTCCTGAAAGTGTTTTTGTTTACCTGTGGAACCGTGGGCCATGCCAGATGGTCCGCAATGTGATTGATGCCGGGGGACTAGGAGATGCCGTATCGGCTCGGCCCCTGGAGGGGCCAGAGGCGAAGGTCACCCACACGGGCAGTCAGCCACGTCTAGGTGATCGAGACCGGAAGCTCACGATTGGTCTCTCCTGGGCCCTAATCTACGCATCTCTCCCTTCACAGAATTTAATCTCCACCCTTTTTCTGTAATGAAGTGCTCCCAGGAGTAGAACGGCACTTCTGCGAGTCCTTCTAGGGAATCCTAGAAACTGAGGGTGGGCTTGGGGACCCCCAAATTGCCATAGTATACTAGACTTCCCTGGGGTCAAATCTGGCTCTTCTGCTTACGGGCTGTGAGACTCTGAGCACGCAACAGCGGCTCTCTGGATCTCATTCCTCATTGCTGTCCCTGGACATCTCGTGCACCAGGTGCCAAGCTCCACCCTGCACTCAGCAAGTGTGACTCTTGGTCTAACTTCTACGCACAGGCTTCCTCAGGGTTCCCCAGGGGCACTCATGATATTTCCTAGTGCTCAGAACCCTGCCTCTTCCTAGCTGGGTGACCTTAGGCAAGTCACTTCACCCTTCTGAGTCCCCTCCGCCATCGAAAATGGGGATTTCGTGTACCACAAAGGGTGTTGTGGGTGGTTGACGAACAATGCAAAGGACCTTGCATACTGCCTGGGACACAGTCGGTACTCAAAAAGTACATCCCAGCATTTATTGAAAGATTATTGTGTGCCCAGCTGTTCTAAGCACTTCACATGCGTTGTATCATTTGAGTCTCTCAGCTGCCCCATGAGAGAGTCACTTTTATTATCCCCATTTTCAGGAGGAAACGGAGGCACGGAAGAAGAGTCACTTGCCTAAAGCCATCCCTTAGTAAGTAGCAGGGGGCGGGGGTGGGATTTGAATGCAGGCAAGTCAGACAGCCTGACTCAGAAGCCTGGGCTTTTAAGTACCACATGTGAAAGGGATATGTATGTGGCTAGGGAGGACGGGGCGGGGGGGGGCGGGGGGGCAGTGGGCAGGAGGTTCGCAGGGTCGAGGGTCAGATGGCCCACTTAGCTCCTTCTTCTTAGATCAAAGGTGTGGGGACCAGCAGCAAGCAGGATGGAGGCAAGACTCTAAGAGGGACTGGCCAGGGCCGCATATGGAACAGAAAGCTGAGCGAATCTGCTCTGAATCTCTGGAAATACTGACTAAAGCGGACACAGGGGACTGGCCGAGACAGCCAGGGGTGCTGACCTGCATCCGGGCCCCGGGGGTAGCCTCGGATTCGCAGGTCGTTGAACTCCTGGCACCTGTCACTGGTGTCGGCATCTCGGACCCGCGCGCAGAGGTCGGAGACCAAGATGAGTGCCCGCCGGCAGAGGTCATCCTCGTAGTCTCCGGACATGGTGGCCGGTGGGTTCTGTGCTTGGAGGGGCCGGACGGGGGTGCAGATGAGAGATGAGATTGAGACAGCGGAGGGTAAAGGATAAAAGGGGAAAGAGAAAAAGGGATGGACAGGCGAGGGGACAGAGATCGCGGGTAGATGGATAAAGCGCTGGAGACTGGGGAAGGAGGGACAATGAGAAAGAAATTCGGGGCCGATGGACAGGACTGAAACTCGGGGTACAGGCAAGAAGACAACAGTAGACTGGACAAACAAGGGGACAGAGATCAGCGTCCGTGGACCAGAGGACAGAGAACAGGGACAAATGGACAAGGAGGAAGAGACTAGGGAGGCCAGTCAAAGGGCAGAGATGAAGGATGCACAGTAAAGGGATGGGCAAAGAGACAGAGATGAAGGGTGCTCAGACAAAGGGACAGAATTTAGGCGTGGACTGACGAGGGGACAGCCATTCATCGTTCATGCATTCGACGAATATTCATTGAGCACCAACTACATGCCAGGCACTGGGCCAGATGCCGCAGAGCCAGCAGAGAACGAAGCCCACACGGTGCCCGACTTCCTGGGGTTACAATCCAGTGAGAGGAGACATGGGGTAAACAAGTCAACAAACATATACACAAACAAGACGAGCTCACACGTGAGAAGTGCTCTAAAAGAAATAGTTGGAAGGAAGGTCACAAAGGGACCAGGAGGTGGGCAGCTGGGGGGCCCTCTGTGGCCCCCCAGCCGTGGGCGGTGGGGCTGGAGTGGGGAAAAGCATCCAAAGCAGCAGGAACAGCATGAGCAGGAAATCAGGAGGCCACGTCCAGGTAGAAGGGGGCAGGGCGGAGAGAAAGGGAGGGACAGGGTCAGAGAGAGGAGGTGGTTGTGTGCAGGGGTGGCTGGGGTGGGATGCGAGGTGCGGGATGCAGAGAGAGGGACCAGGTTGAGGGAGGAAGACAGAAGGGGAAGGGAGACAGAAATAATGGGAAGGGCAAACTGGGACCCAGAACAGAGGGACAGATGAGCAGACAGACACAGGGAAAGTGAAGGATTTCGATTTGGGATGGACAAGCCATAAAGAATGGACTAGTGTGTAATTTATGAGAGTGTGAGAGATGGGCGGCCAGAGGCACAGTCAGAAGTGCCAGGACAGAAATATCTTTGAAAGAGAAACAGTGGTTGGCAGAATGGATGGGGTGCAGGAATAAAGGACAGATAGACAGGCAATGGCCAGAGATCACAGATGGGCAAGGATACAAAGGAGGGCTGGGCAGACAGACATGGGTGCAGAAGGCAGGCTGGATGGGGGTGGGGGCATAAAAGAGAGAGGACCGGGAGAAAGAGGTGCATGTGGGGAGAAGGGGAATTAGCCACTCACGGTCTGGAGCCAGACACCAGGGGTGGACTGGAAGGAGAGTGCAGGGGGAAGTCAGGGGCGGGCGGGCAGACCAGCGCTCACAGATGGACAGGTGTCGGGGGGGTATTGCAGAAGGCCAGGACTCCGAGACAGGCATGGTCAGACTCACCTGCGCTTATCCCTGCCGTGTTCTGGGTGGCAGCCTAGGCGGCGGCTGGCGGCAGCCCATGGGGCTTGTAGGGCGGACAAGGGGCTGCGGACCCGTCCCCACGCGCCAGGTGGTGGGAGGAGGAGCCGGATCTGGGGACCGTGGCCAGGAGACAAAGCTCAGCCCGAGCCTCACGTCTTGTCCTACTTGGACCGGCTGCTCGACCCCAGGCGACCCGCGGGAGGTCCAGCCACCCCCTCCCACCTCCGGGGCCCCAGCTCCCGTTGAGCTTAGAGACTACAATTCCCGCCAGGCCTTGCGCTATCGCGCCTAAAGACTTCACAGACCCGGCTCTGTATGGGCTGCTGGGAATTGAAGTCCTTAATGCTTCTCCCGGCTGCAGAGAGGATGGGAATTTTTTTCGGAGGTGGGGTTCGGAGGTGGGGGGGCGGGTTATGAGATGCCGGGGTCCCAAGGCGCTGCAGGGGGGAGGAATAATATCCAGGACCCCGAGAGGGCGCGGAGTCCTAAGTCCTCGGGGGTCATGTAGTGGGTAAGCGATCCCCACCTCCGGGGGATCGGTGGGTGAGGTTGGGGTACACCTCGGTGTTTCGGGACCCCCCTTTCTAGGGCCACGTGCCCCTCCCCCGGGGCGGCCAGCAAGCGCTGCAGCAGCCGCACTCGCGGGCAGGAGATCCGCGCGCCTCTGCACCTACCCCCGCCCCTACGTGCTGAGGCCTCCCCCCAGCATCGGCCTGGGGCGGGGGCTGGGGCAGGGGGAGGGGGAGGAGCGGACTCACCCGGAGCCGCCGCCGCCGCCGCCGCCGCCGCCGCCGCCGCCGCAGCCCCGCGCGCCCGCCGCGGTGCCCGCTCGGCTCCTCCCCCCGCCCCTGGCGCAGGTCCGCGGCTCCTCCCCTTGCACCCCCTCCTTCCTCCCCACCGAACCTGCGGCTTGAGAGCAGAAATCGCGCGGCCGCAGCGAGGAAGGAGGGAGATTTCCCAGGGCCAAGCCGTCCGAGACCCAGCTCTCTTACACAGTGGAACATCCAGCTGTCTGGGATCGTGACCCTCTGCTGCCCAGGATTCAGGGGCCCCGGCCCCCAGCCCCTCTTCTCTCAGCCGGAAAAGTCTGGGACCCCAGTCACTTCTACCAGAACCCAGGGTAATGAGCTCCCACCCCCTCCATTCTCAGATCCAGGAATCCACTCCTCCCCTGGCCCTTCTTTCACAGCACTCAGGACTTGGAGGCTTCCCATCTGGGGAGTTCTGGAGGCTGGCGGGCCGGGGGGGGGGGGGGGGGGGGGGGGGGGGGGGGGGGGGGGGGGGGGGGGGGGGGGGGGGGGTGGAGGCGGAGCCTCAGAGTTAGCGGGTTTGGAGAATCTTAGCCCGGTGCGAGGCACAAGCAAGGGACCAGGGTTTGGATCCTGCCTTGGCCGGCTCCTGCCTTTGTGACCTCGGACCTTTTTCTCTGAGGTCCAGTTTCTTCATCACAAAAAATACATATAGACAATAAACCTGTTTCCTAAGAGATCCAGACGTTTGAAAAACCGGGCAATATAGGTAAAGCATTGGCACCAAGTTGGTGCTTAATGAATCTTCCTCCAAAGCAGCAAGTAACTGTCATATTAATAGCGGTTAACGATAATTGCCACTGAGTGTGATCTGGGCCCTGTGCTTTGAAAGCACTTCAAAGTGCTTTGAAAGCATTTTCTTGTTTAATCTTCACCAGCCATGCCAATGCTATTCCCATTTCACAGAGGAGGAAACTGAGGTCCATAGAGGTGAAATCCCTTGGAGAAGGTCCAGAGCCACACAATCACAGCAACAGCCCACAGGGGTGGCTGGGAGGAGCTTCAGTCTTCCTCAGTGCTGCCTCCGCTACCCCCAGTGACATTCATATAAATATAATTTCTAAGTAAAAAAATATTTTGGGGGCTCTGGGTGGCTCAGTCGGTTGAGCATCTGACTTCGGCTCAGGTCATGATCTCAGGGTTTGTAGGTTTGAACCCCACATTGGGCTCTGTGCTGACAGTGCAGTGCCTGCTTCAGATTCTCTCTCTCCCTCTCTCTGTTCCTCCTGTGCACGCTCTCTCTCTTGTTCAAAAATAAATTAATAAACTTAAAAAAAAAGAGGGGCAAATTTTCCTATTCCGCTCAGACTTGTTTAAAAAAAAAATTCTTCTTCTACCAAGGCAACTTTAAGACAAGTTCCCTAGGGCCTCCCTTTAACTAGACTCCACTCCTCCCCACATATTGCTACCTGTGTATACATTTGCAGTCACTGTCACCCTGCAGACTCCCCCAGGAATGCCTCCAAGGCTCACCCCGACTCTTATCCCCAGTGCTGCTTCATTCTCCCCGATGGACCCGCACTGGCACCCAGGGAAGCTGGCATGGAGGGCGCACGGCCAGGTGTATGCACACAGGTCCAGGCAGCTCAGAGCCCACTCATAAGCAGATCCTTGCACCCAGCTAGCCTGTCCAGAGTCCACAGGCGGCCCCGTCCACTGGGAGAGATACACAGAAGGAAGTGTGCAGCAACGCATACACTCAGATGGCTATGCACGTGGACTTGCCACACTTCCAGGACACATTTCCAAAGAGACATCTACTCACGGACTGGCCGCTGGAGGGCACCGGGTGTGCCTGTGGTTTGGGACATGGCAGGGCCAGGGTTCACATCCAAGGCCTGCTCTCAGTATTACGTGTGGAGTGCTTAGATGCTCAATGCCTCGGTTTCCCCATCTGTAAACGGAAGTTTTTTTTAAAAAACCCAGATTCCAGGTTATTAAGTTATTTTGAAGATTAAGTTAAATTCACATGAGATGCTTAGACAAAACGGTTCCTTACTAATGACAATTAGTATTGTCATAATTAATACTTATATGCACTTGCTCATGTACTTTTTATTTCTTTATTAAAAATTTTTTATGTGTATTTATTTTTGAGAGACAGAGAGTGAGTGGAGGAGGGACAGAGAGGAAGGGAGACACAGAATCTGAAGCAGGCTCCAGGCTCTGAGCTGTCAGCACAGAGCCCAATGCGGGGCTTCAACTCACTGACCATGAGATCATGACCTGAGCTGAAGCCGGACGCTTACCCGACTGAGCCACCCAGGCGCCCCTCTTTATTTTTTTAAAGTAAACTCTACACCCTGCACGGGGCTTGAACTTATGCTGCGGAGATCAAGAGTCACGTGCTCTCTCAGCTGAGCCAGCCAGACACCTGCTCACATTTTTTTTTAATTGTTTTTGACATTTATTTATTTTTGAGAGACAGAAGAGACACAGCACAAGTAGGGTAGTGGCAGAGAGAGAGAGAGAGTAAGACACAGAATCTGAAGCAGGCTGCAGGCTCTGAGCTGTCAGCACAGAGCCCGAAGTGGGGCTTGAACTCACAAACTGTGAGATCATGACTTGAGCGGAAGTCGGGCGCTTAACCAACTGAGCCACCCAGGCGCCCCTTACATTCTTTATTTTATGCATTTGACAAGTGAGGCAATTGAGGCTCAGAGAAGGGAAAGAGATGCCCTTCCTGAGGTCACACAGCTGGGAAATGTCAGAGTTGAAATTCAAAACCCACGTGGGTCTGAATCTAGACCCTTGCCTTCAGCCATTACATTGTTTGCATCCAGGAAGTTTGAGGACCTTGCCTGTTGTAGCCAATGGGAGTGTGGAATAGCACAGGGTACTGGACAGGGAGCCAGGAGACAGAGTCCTCTGTGTTCATTGAATCCCGTCCATACAGTCATTCGCTAAATACTTACTGAACATCTGCTGTGTGCCAGGCCCTGCCCTAGGCACCAGGGACCCAGCTAGGAACAAAGCAGAAAAAGAGCCCAGCCTTGGGAGGGTCAAGGGTCTAGTGGAGACAGATAGTCATCAGATACCTAGCTGTATGTATTAGAGTCAATGTGTGTTCAAGAAGGAAGTCATGGAAGGCTTCCCTGAGGAAGTGACCAAGTGATTTGAGCTCAGAAGGGTGAGTAGGTATAAACCGGGTGAAAATGGGGGAAGGGTGGGGAAATACTCCAGTGAGAAGGACCACCCCACTCCATGCAGGGCCCCGGGGAAGGAGGGAGTTTGGCTCATGGAAGACTGCCAAACATCTAAGCTCTAGGGGGCGAGTAGCACTTTCTTTTGTTTATTGCTGCATCCTTTCTGCTTGACACATTGCCTGACACACAGTAGGCAATCAATAAATATTGACTGTTTGAATGGAGGAGTACAAGTACAAGAAAGAGTAAGTAGAGGAATGTATGTATGTATGTATGTATGTATGTATGGATGGATGGATGGATGGGTGGATGGATGGGTGGATGGATGGATGGATGGATGGATGGATGGATGGATGGATGAGTGGCTGGCTGGAGGATTGGATAAATTTATGTGGGTGGGTGGATGAACTGAGAGTTGGATGGGTGAATAAATGGTTCAATGGACAGCAAGGTGGGTGGATGGCTGAGTAAATGGATGAATTTACATCAGTACCTACATATTCACGCACAAATGTTCCTGGAAATTGATGCAGATACACACCCAGACACACACACACATGTGTGTATACAAAGGTTTACCTCTCCTTATGGTGCTGACCCTGGAGAGGAGAAGTTGGCCACCCTTGGCTAGGGCCTGTGTGGATGAGGACACAGGGAAAGAAACCCTCTGACCAGGGCTACAACCAGCCCCACCCCCACTGCGGCACTGACATAATTTCTGGAATAGGAAGAAAGTGCTGATACAGGGATTTGTGTCCCAGGCTGTGAGCCAGGCCAGGGAATGGGACAGGAATGGCCCAAGAGAGATGAGGTGAGTGGCAGAGGGAGGCATGTGGGGCGATGATAGACAAAGGAGACAGAGAGATAGACACAGAAGCAGAGATAGAGCAATGGAGACAGAGACACACAGAAAGCTATAGAGACACGGAGAATAAGAGATGACACAAAAAGAGACACACAACATAGAAATTCAAATTCAGACACAGAGCGAGACAAGGCAGGGTTCCAGAGATGAGAGAGAGAGGGAGAGAGAGAGGAGGAAAAATAAAGACACGGAGAGAAATGGAGACACAGGGAGATGGAAACATGGAGATACAGATGCTAGAGGGGAGAGAAACAGAGACAGACAGGGAATGACACCCAGAGAGGGAAGAAAGAGAGCTTCAGAAGAGGCAGCTAAAACTAGGCTCAGAGAGGGGAAGACATTTGCACAGTCTGGACATAGCATTTGATGCTGGTCTGTTTGACTCCAGAGTCCATTCCGTGTTCTCTTCACCCTGTGTTGCCTCATGAGGACCAGAGGGACACAGGCAAGTGGGGCTGAGGCTGCTGAGCATGGGTCACAGCGATAGAGTCTTTCATTTACCCACTCAACACATCCTGGAAAGGGTGACGCTGGAGAGTCAGAGAGAAGTTAGGAGCTTCTGGTCTACCAGGGTAGGTAGACACCGCCCCAAATGGGAGCGATGGGGAAGTGCATTCCAGGCAGCAGGCGCGGGATGTGGAGAGTGAAAACAGGAATGGGGTGGTAAGGATTGGAGAGTGTTTGGAGGGGTGAGGTGGGAGAGGAGGGTGGGACAAGATGGTGCAGATCTCACATGCCTGGCTGAGAGGCTCCAACATTGTCCAGGGGCACTGGGGAGCCATGGGAGGGCTGGAAGCTGGGCAGGGGCAGGTCGGCTCTGGGAGCAGAAAGAACCCTCTGGAACCCTTCAGGGCAAGAAGGAGGAGGGAGAGGGCAAGAGGAAGGTGGGGGCAAGGGTCCAGGCATGGGAATGAAGAGAAGAGGAGTCAGGGGGCAGGAGAGATAGAGCTTGGTGTGCCTGTTGTCATGGGAATGAAGGATGTTCCCTGCTTTGTAGGGATGGAGTTGGCCACCAGAAATGGAAAGGACAGCCTGATGGGACAGAAAGACATCAGGGTGAGTAAAGGGAGTCAGGGCCCCAGAGGAACTGAAGATGGTACTGAGTCTATTTGAGTGAGGATTGTTTTCTTTTTAATTTTTTTTAATGTTTTATTTATTCCTAGGAGAGAGAGAGAGACAGCATGAGCAGGGGAGGTTCAGAGAGAGAGGGAGCCACAGATTGAAACAGGCTCCAGGCTCTGAGCCGGCAGTCAGCACAGAGCCCGACGCGGGGCTCGAACCCACGAACCGCGAGATCGTGACCTAAGCGAAAGTCGGACGCTTAACCGACTAAGCCACCCAGGCGCCCCGATTGTTTTCTTTTTAAATATTTTTAATGTTTATTCATTTTCTGAGAGACAGAGAGAGACAGAACATGAGCAGCGTAGGGGCAGAGAGAGAGGGAGACACAGACTCCGAAGCAGGCTCCAGGCCCTGAGCTGTCAGCACAGAGCCCGATGCGGGACTCGAACCCACAAACTGTGAGATCATAACCTGAGCCGCAGTTGGACGCTTAAGCGACGGAGCCACCCCGGCGCCCCTAAGTGAGGATTGTTTTAACTGGCAATGACAGAGACTCAAAGGACTTAAGCATAAGAGGGAATCAACTGAATGGAGGAAGGCTTCAGGCATGGCTGGATCCAGGTATCCCGAAGACCATCATCAGAAATCTGTCTGCATTTTTAGTTTCTGCTTTCCTCACGTTGTCTTTGCTTCCAGGCATGTTCTCTCCGCATATGGTGATGTGATACCCCTGGCAGCTCCAGCCTAGACTCTGACCAGCCTGGCAACCTTACTGGGAAAAAAAAGATCCTCTTGTGTAACAGATCCAGCAAAACTTCAAGGGTTGACTCTGTATTCTAGAGTGATTTTGAAGCTCACCCCTGAAGAAATCACTGAGAAAATCAAGGTGCCACTAGCTAGAAAGCAGAGAATCTATGCTTAGCAAGCAGGAATAACGGACAGTCGAGGCGGAGACCATCTGGGAGTGGAGAGCAGAGGACAGAGAAAGAAAGCAGGTAACAGAGACAGAGAAGGAAGGACAGACAGCATAACTAAGCAAGTCCAGCCTTTCCCCCCACAGTTCCTGCTGAGAGCTCTGCAGACACGAAGACAGAAATGCCTTAGGGACACCTGCGTGGCACAGCCCTTCAACTCCCGCACTCAGGCGCAGGTGCCCCCAGACCGGGCTCCTCTGGACCCAGGAATCCAGGCTCCCATTCCCTCCTCCCTTAGACTCAGGGGTCCGGGACCCTCCCCTCTCCCCCTCCCCCCAGCTCCTTCCTCACTCAGAGCCAGGAGCTGGAGCCCCCAGCCCCTCCCCCTCCCTCTGGAGGTACCATGGTAACCAGGCCCCCTGCCCACCCTCCCCCGCAACCCATATAGAATCCCATTTCTGTTGGAGTCTGGCCTGTGTCTAACCAGTGCCTGCGTGAGACAGGGATGAGCGGAGGGCAAGTGGGACCAGAAAGGGGATGACAGAGGGCAGGGGAGCCGGTTCTGAGAGAAGAGAGATGGACAAGGGAGGCTGGGGAGAGGAGGGGGGAGACGTAGGGAAACAGAGAGGCAGGCTTGGAGGGAGGCCGACTATGAAGAGTGGGAGGGCCGGGGGGCTGCGGAGACGGTGGGGAAACTAGCTGAGGCGGAGCCTGGGGGGATGGAAGGAGGGAGGGGGAGAGAAGTGGAGAGGAAGAGAGCAGAGAAATCAAGGGAAAGAGTGGAGAAGAGATGGGGAGAGATCAGGGGAGAGAGATGGGGAGACACTAGCAGGGGGCGGGTGGGGGAGACCTGGGAAGAGAGAGGGAGAGGGAGAGAGGCGGGGAGAGGCAGCGTCCCGAGGAGATTCGGAGAGACGGAGGAAGAAGCGGGAAAGGGGCAAAGAAGGCGTCAGGGCACACAGGAAATGGAACTCAGTGGGTTCCCAGAGGTTAGGGGAACCCGGATGCCTATTCGGTCTCAGCCTTCCAGGTCGTCCGTGTTTTTCCCCTGGGGCTTCAAAGAGAAGAAGGAGGAGGCAGCCACGGGGAGAAGGCGCTGGGGCGGGTGGGTCAGTCAGGACCCTTCTCACCTTCCTGAGGCATCATCCCTCACCCGCCTTCCCGGGATGCAGCAAGAGGTGGAGACCCTATGTTCTTCCACCGCGGGCAACCCCAGCGTGCACAGGGAGGCAGGTAGTGTGTGTGTGTGTGTGTGTGTGTGTGTGTGTGTGTGTGTGTGTGTGTGTGGCGGGGGGGGGGTTTCCTTCCTCCATGCACCGTGCGGTAACACTGGCTTTCAGTGTGGCCTTAAGCTAGTCATTGGCCTAACAGAGAGCCCCCCAGACTCTGATGTTGACCGGACTCCTGGGCAGCACCCTTTGGCCCTTAAATTACATTTCTCATTACATTTGCGGTTCCCTGGGCAATGGTCTGGACCAGAACTAGATTTCCCATGAGCCTCTGGGGCCTTAACAACTCTTCTGAGGCTACGGTCTCCTGGGGCGCTCTGCCCTGGTCCCTCACGCTCCCCTTTTCTGCCACACTGAGCTCAGCAGCTAACCGCAAAGCCGCTCCGCCTCCATCTTCCCGTGCTCAATGGTCTCACTGCCAACGTGGTCACTGGGCTAGACCCCAGACACTACCCACCTCCACTTCCGCCCACACCCATGGGTCCCCAGCCCCCTCTTCCTGCCCACTCCCGTTGCCCTGTCCCTGCCTCTCCATCCCCACAGGCCCAGCTCAGGTCTCCTCCTCTTCCTCTTTCTCTACCTAACTCCAGGTCTCCATTTTCTCTCCTCAAGCCCACCCCCCACTTGGCTCCTGAGGGGCCATCTGACCTCCAGCATTGACCCTGTCCCTCCTCTGCTATCACCTCCCCTTCCTTCTCCATCACTTCTGGGATGGAGTCCCAGCCCCTCAGCTTCAGACCCTGTGTGGTCGGCCACCAGCTGACAACTTCAGGCTCATGCTCCAGGGCTCCCTGCTTGCCCACTACTTTAGCACAGGTCATTCATTCATTCATGCATTCCCTCACTCAGCCAACCTGTAGCATCCTTGGTGAGGATGCATTTGGCTGCATGTAATAGAAATTGGACTCAGTGTAAAATAAAGAATAGAAGCCCAGATGTGGGGTGGGGTTTGGGTTTCGTGGAGTCAGCAGCTCAGTGATGTCACTGAGAACCCAGCTTTTTTTTCCCCTGTGTTTTGGTCTGTGATGTGTCTCCCTTGCACACCAGCTTGCTTACCTCATGGTCACAAAATGGCTGCCACAGTTCCAGGCATCACTTGCAGAGGGTTCTTCATCTTAAGAGCCCCCACATGATCCCCCCTCACATCTTTTTGGTCAGCACTCCGTCACCCACTCACTTTTGTCTCAACCCCAGGCAAAAAGATTATCATGATTATTTAATTTTTATTTTCTTTAATTTTTAATATTTTATTTATTTTTGAGAGAGAGATAGAGACAGCGTGAGCAGGGGAGGGTGAGAGAGAGAGAGGGAGACACAGAATCTGAAACAGGCTCTAGGCTCTGAGCTAGCTGTCAGCACAGAGCTCGACGCGGGGCTTGAACCCACGAACCGTGAGATCATGACCTGAGCCGAAGTCAGATGCTTAACCGACTGAGCCACCCAGGCTCCCCTATCATGATTATTTTAGCCAGCGGTCCTCGACTCTGGCTATACATAAGGTGGAAGGATTTAAAAACAAAAAAAATCTATACCCAAACTCACTTCAGATCCAATTTAACCAGAATCTCTAGGACTTGGGTCCTTGCATCTATAATTTTTGAATGCTTGCCAGGTGATTACGACCAACAGTAAGGGTTGGAAGGTATTGGTTTAAACTGGATGGGATACCTCTGAAGAAAGGATAGTGGTGAGCCTCCCCTGAGCTGCATGGGTGAGGGCTGGAGCCTTCTCAAACTGGGGAGGAAGGACGTTATATTTAGCTCCAGAAAAGCTGAGTGGAATTGAAGTTGACCAGTTGGCCAGTTTTGAAGATCAATATTTGTTCTTTTCAGCTTTGTAGCTTTCTCGGTGGTACTTTGGGACCAGTAACACTTTTTAACCTATCAGGTTTCAAACGTTGGCATCGGCCGACAGAAAGTCCGTGGCAAGGCGCCTGGGCAGCTCAGTCAGTTAAGCGCCTCTTGATTTCAGCTCAGGTCATGATCTCACAGTTCGTGATATCGAGCCCCGTGTAGAGCTCTGTGCTAACATGTAGAGCCTGCTTGGGATTTGTCTCTCTCTCTTTCTTTCTCTCTCATTCTGGTTCTCTGCCCCTCTCCCACTCACAACCTCTCTGTCTCTCTCAAATAAATAAATAAACAAACAAAAAGAAAGAAAGCCCATAAGCCCGTGGGTCCCAAGTGTTTTGCCAATGGTGCCTAATGAATGAAATGACCCAGCCTGTTCTCAAGCAGATAAGGCGGACATGAAATACGCCATATCACAAATAATTAAACACCTACAAATGCAATAAGTGCTCCTTAGCTTGGGGCTGAAGAGAATTCTGAGAAGTTCCTGCAGATGAGCATATTCTTTTGTGCTTAAAGACCTTAGTCCCTGGTGGTCCCTCTGCATAAACATCCTTTTCCCTACCATTTCTTTATTTGGCAAGCTCCTCCTTATTCCTTAGGTCTTACTGTAGACATTACCTCCTCCAGGGAGTCTCCCCTGATTGCCCTTAGACTAGGCTTCCCTTTCACCTTGTGACACTGCCACTGTAGCTTGTATTGCACTCCCCCGCCCCAGCAGACTGGGATCTTTGGAGGGCAGAGCAGATTGTCTAGACAAGAGTGGGTGAGAGACAGCAGACTGGGCGGGGACTGAGAGCACAGAGTCTGGATCCAGACGCCTAGATTTTTATCCTGATTCTATCACTTGGGCAAGTCACATAACCTTTCTATGCTTCTGTTTCATCATTTGTTAAACTACACTATTTCAGGAAGTTGTCATGAGGATGCAGTGGAAAACACTTTTGAAAGTGGTTGGCTTTTTATTTTATTATTTCTTTTAATGTCAGCTCTACACCCAATGTGGGCCTTGCACTCACAACCCTGAGATCAAGAATTGCTCTCCTGACTGAGCCAGCCAGGTGCCCCGAGTGCTTGGCTTTTTCTTTTCTTTTCTCTTTTTACTTAGTTTTGAAAGATTTTTAATGTTTATTTATTTTTGAGAGAGAGAAAGAGAGGCAGAATGTGAGTGGGGGAGGGGCAGAGAGAGGGAGATACAGAATCTGAAGCAGGCTCCAGGCTCTGAGCTGTCAGTGCAGAGCCCGACATGGGGCTCGAACTCATAGACCGTAGGATCATGGCCTGAAGCTGATGTTGGACGTCCAACCAACTGAGCCACCCAGGTGCCCCTGCTTGGCTTTTTAAAAGGGACTGTCAACATATATGGGCCACCTGGGTAGCTCAGTTGGCTAAGCGTCCAACTCTTGGTTGTGGCTCAGATCATGATCTCACAGTTCATGAGTTCAAGCCCCGCATCAGTCTCTGCTGACAGAGCGGAGCCTGGTTGGGATTCTCTCTCTCCCTCTCTCTCTCTGCCCCTCCCCTACTCGTTCTCTCTCTCAACATAAATAAACTTAAAAATTAAAAAAAAAAAAAAGGCCTGCAAACATATAGTTATTGTTCCATGGGCAAATTTGAGGAGAACACTGTGTTGAAGGAATGTAGGGGAAGCCAGTACAGCTGGAGGAAAATGATGGAAGTCAACAGGGGTGACCGCATGCAGGGCCAGCGCTTCTCAAAAGGGATCTTGTTAAAATGCAGATTCGGGGGGCGCCTGGGTGGCTCAGTCGGTTAAGCGTCCGACTTTCGCTTAGGTCATGATCTCGCGGTTCGTGGGTTTGAGCCCCGCATCGGGCTCTGTGCTGACTGCCCGCTCAGAGCCTGGAGCCTATTTCAGAGTCTGTGTCTTCCTCTCTCTCTGACCCTCCCCTGCTCACGCTGTCTCTCTCTCTCCTAGAAATAAATAAAAATATTAAAAGTAATAATAATAAATAAAATGCAGATTCGGATCCCATAGGTCTGAGGTGGACCCCAACATGCTGTGTCTCAGACAAGGTCCTGCTCCCCAGATCACAAGTGAGGAGCAAGTCTCCACCCCAGAGAGGACTTTACCCTGAAGGCAAGAGAAAGCCACTGGTGCTTTGTAAGGAAGGGGCCCAGCTGCCCTGCGCAAACAGATGAGAAGGTGGGAGGCTGGGGACCAGAGAAGGGGATTTCCGATGCTACCAGCTGAGCTGTGTCAACGCCTCAAAGTCAAAGACGCCGGGAGCTTAGCTGGGACTCGGCTGTGTGCTGGAGACACCGTGTTCCTGCTCACAGAGCCCATTGTTAAGTTTTGCAAGCTGGTGGTTAAAACCGTGGGGGGTTTCAAATTGGTCATGGTGGGTATATTGATAGCGTGGAAACTGGCAAATGCTACAGTCGGTGTGTGTGTGTGTGTGTGAGAGAGAGAGAGAGAGAGAGACCGGGAGAGTGACATTAATTAAAAATTTGAGAGAAAGAGCGAGAAAGAGATTAATTCAACATTTACCAGCACACCGCTGAGTTTATTGGCTCCGACGAGGGGGTCCCTAACACGTGGAATGTTCTAGTAGGGGCTGTTGGGGAGGGCTTATGATAGGAGCTGCTGGGTTAGGTGACTTTGGGGGGACTCAGGGAAGCAGGCTTGGGGCGCCGGCAGGAAGTGGAGGCAAGTCTGTGGCACAGGAGGAATGATCGGAGCTGACACCGGGCGTGGGGCCGAAGCGGCGCCAGCTCTGAACCAAGTGGAGGCTGTTTGGTCATCTTGTGGGTTGGGCAGTGTTCGTGTGCTGTCGTGTTGAGACGGGCCTCCGGGGTGGTCTGGTTTTTATCTCGGCCCGCCCTGGTCACAGAGTAGCCTTGGCTGATGGTGGCGCTCCGAGAAAGCGTTCCTGCCCTGGGCCGGACGGTTATCAGTGTCAGGGGCCGCTCTCTGTTCAGCGGCTGTAACAAAGAGACACCCCCAAAGGCAGGGGCGTGAAGAAGAGCGTGTAACAGGGGGTCAGGTGGTCCGGCTTGCTGGGACCTCCCAGCCGCGTGAGCCGATGCTGGGACCCGGGTTCCTGCCATATTGTTGCTCGAGTCGGGCAGAAGCTGGCTTATTGCCACGGTCACATTTCCGTCCCAGGGAAGGGGCAACACGTCCAAGACAAGCAATCTTCTTTTAAACAAATGAGCCCCGAGTCGCACCCCTCCCTCCCCCAACACCGTTGGCGAGAACTCGCTCACGTGGCCACTCGCGGCTGCAAGGGATGCTGGAAACTGTTGTTTCTAGTTGGGCGGCTGTGCCCGGTAAAACCCTAAGACTGTGGAGGAAGGGGAAACGGATTATTGGGGAACTAACAATTGGCCGAAAGAGAGACCTTAGCCAAGGGCGGAGTGGCCTAGAGGGGCCGATTGCGATCCGGAGGCTGGCTCTGAGAGTGCGGGAAGACCACACGCTGGGTTTACATGGTGTTGGGGGGGCTGCGGGGACGCGAATAGGAAGCAAAACCGGGCGAGGCCCTCCCTCTTCCTCCGGCCTTGCGGCGCCTCTCTAGCGCCCCCTGTAGGCAGAGCCTCACAGGAACCCAGCAGTCGGAGCTGAACAGGGGATTCGTAGGGTCCCTGCCCCGGGGTCACAGACCGAGTGGCTGTTGAAGGGAGTCTGCAGCCGAGAGGCAATAGCTTAGTAACTGGCGTGGGCCATTCGGGAATGGCGGGAAACTTGGGGATGCCCCCTGAAGCCGAATGATGTCTGAGGAGTGCTCAAGGCGACTGACATTGGGTTCTCCGTCCCCAGGAGCCCTCCCTCTGGACATTGAGACCCTAGAGGAGACGCAGACTCCGAGCCTGGGCAGGCCCGTCAAGTCCTCGTGAGTGGCCCCTGGTCTCATGACTTTTGATCTCAGCTCCCCCCGGAGGGGCGCGATGACAGCCCCCCCCCCCCGACTCTGACCTCAAAGGTCCCCGCCCACTCGCTCTCTCCCCAGGAAGCAGTACCTGCGTCAGGTCATTGCGGAATATGAGGCGCTGGACCGAGAGCTACCGTGCATCCGGAAGTTCCCCATGCCACCCGCTGCCCAGCCTCTGTGTCTGTGCATGGAGACCTTAGTGAGTGGCCCCCTGCCCCTGTGACCCCAGGCCCTGAGTCTCTGCACAGCTTGGGTGGATGATAGAAAGGGAACAGGCTCAGTAATGAGGTGAACAGAGGTTCAATCTAGGCTCTGCAACTCACCCAGCTGTGGGCTTGGCACAGGGCAGGCTGCTAAAAGTTATGAATTTGCCAAAGGGTCAGACATCACATTTATCACTGCTGATCTAGAAGGGGCAGAGAGAGCAGGAGAACAAGGGGGCAGAGAAGGGCCAAGATTGAAAGGAAGGTGTCCTGGGACTGCCTGGGTGGCTCATTTGGTTAAGTGTCTCAGCTCATGATCTCCCAGTTAGTGAGTTCGAGTCCCATGTGGGGCTCTGTATGGACAGCTCAGAGCCTGGAGCCTGCTTCAGATTCTGTGTCTCCCTCTCTCTCTGCTTCTGCCCTGTTCATGCTCTGTCTCTCTCTCTCTCAAAAATAAACGTTAACAATTTAAATTAAAAAAAAATAAAGAAAAGAAAGGCAGGTGTCCTTCTAATGCATTTACTATGAAATCCTGTAAAGTTTGCAAATATAGCCAAGACTCAAGATGAAGCCCATGTTTTGGGCAGATTCGGTGAACCGGTCATTCCTGGTTCAAGTCCATTGGCAATCGCTGCACTGGTCAGCGGAGGTATCTATTAGGTTCTCGCTCGAAGATTACGTGAGAAGAGCTGAACTTAATAGGATGCTTCCCGTGTTTCAGGCACTGGTCTGAGATGCACTCCCTCAGGTGATCTGTGTGACTTTACCCCAACACAGACATTGTTGTCCTTGCTATAAGGAACCTATTCCGAGCCCATCCCTCCTCTTCTTTGTGGCTTAGAACAGGGGACCCTGCCTGCCCCTCACATCCATGCACAGCTTGCCTTCCTGGAGGTGACCAATTTCATGACGTCATCTATTTCGTCAGCAATTTTATAAGCTCTGATGATGGTGTATCTCCTTCTGCATGGTAATCTCACGCTCAAAATGTGGTTAGTGATCAGTATGTTTCTGAATGACAAGTCACTATGACCCTTATTATTATTTTTACAACCGGACATTCCTTAAAATGCTAATAGGAACATAAAAGGAAAAGTGTACCACTTAAATCCTTGCGGGATCTTTAAGAGCTGCTAAAAAGTCTGCCATCCAAATTTGTGAGTTGTTTAAGCCAACTGTTCATTGACTATTGGCAAATCCGCTTGGTGAGAACTGATTTTTTTGGAGACTGACCTCAATGACAGTAGATGTTTTTCTATCCGAGAGATACCTATTCTCTCCAGGTTTGACTAGAGCGATAGGCTCCGGAGATATAGTGTGAAGCTTGTCCCTCAAACGTCACCTGGGATTCTGGCAGGTTCTGCAGATGGGTCTGAGGTGGGGACTTCCGGAACCTGGCCGCACCTGAGTGTCACGTGCTGAGCTCTCTCTCCTGACTCCTCCAGCCAGAGGAGGACCTTACCCATCTGGAGGTGCTGGAGGCTCTGGAGGCCGAGTTACCCGGAGCCATGGAGAGCGGGCGCGTGACCAGTATCCGTTTTGAAAATATGAACGTCATCTGTGGGACTGCGGGGCGCCGGGACAGGTGAGCCTGTGGCGGATTCCGGGCCCTGGAGCGACCAGGAAGGGCCTGGCGGCGGAGAGCAGGGCGCGGGGCCCGGAGGGGAGGAGGTGAGGGGTGTGGCCTAGGGGGTGGGGGAGGGGCGACGCCGGAGCCAAGGAGCCGAGCGGGCGGGGCCGGGAAGGGAAGGGGAGAGGGGGCTGGGTCTGGACGCCCCGGATTTGGCCCTGGTTGGTGAAAGTGCCCGACGAACGCGCAGGGTGAGAACCGGGAAGGGGCGGAGCCGAGAGCAAGCGCAGGGCGGGGGCAGGGCCAGGTGAGATCAGAGAGCACGTGGGATCTGGAGTGAGGAAATGGACTTTGAGTGACCCAGGTGGTGACCTGGAGGGATGCAACCGAGGTGTGGGGTCGGAGCCTGCAAGGCAGCTCTGAGGGGCGGGGCCTGGACCGAGCACCTTGAAGGTGTGGGGCGAGGAGTGACCCGGTGGGCAAGGGGCCTGGAGTGTCGAGTTGGGGGCGGGACCGGGAGAAACCTCTATCAGGGGACAGGCCTGAGACTCACTGAGGTGGCGGGACTGGACAAAGAAAGGGGCGGGCCCCGGAGCAGCGGTTCGAAAAGACGGAGCCTCGACAGACCACGATCAGGGGACAGGTCAGGCTGAGAGAAGATGGGACCTAGAACGACCTATGCGAGGGGTCGAAATCCGGTTGACCTCGGCGAGAGATCGGGGCTGCAGAGGTTTTAGAGCGCCGGGCTGAGCAACCCGAGCGGGTAAACGAGCCAGGCAGGGGCCCGTCAACAATCAAAGGCGAGGCTGGGACCACCAGCGATTCCCTTCGGTCTCCGCCCCGTCCCTGTCTTCTCGGCGCCACCCCCTCGCAGGTGGCTCATCACGGTCACGGACTTCCAGACTCGTTCGCGTCTGCTGCGCTGCGGCCTCCGCCTGCGCGGGTTCGAGCACCCGCTGGTGCGCCACGACGAGCTGCTGCTGGCCGACTACCGCCTGCACCTGCGCCGCTCCCTCGTCCGACGGCGCATGCTCGAGGCGCTGGGGGCGGAGCCGACCGAGGAAGACTAAGGCTCGGGGCGCGGGCCCTGGCTGCGCTGGCACACCGCCCGGTCGGCCCGGGCTACCCACCCGGAGCCCCCGAGGGAAGGGGGCGTTGCCTCCCCAGGAAGGAGGCGGGGCCGGCTCGAGGGGGTGGATACTGTGAGTTTAATTATAAAGAATGACCTGGTACAAAAGCCATTTCTCTCTGCAAAATCTTGGTGGGGAGTCAGGGGGAGGGAGGTGATGGGAGGTAGGGATGAACCCCCGTAATATAATCCCGCCTCCCGCATCTTCCCCCAGTCCCTGCCAACAGACGCCTGGGTCCCAGTCTCTTGAGGGATGAACTGGGGCTCGCGAGAGGGAAGACCCCGCGCCGGGGACTTTCAACCCATGCGGATCCCTGTCTCAGCGAGAACCACACGTCCTCACCCGCCCCCCTCCTCTCTTCTCCTCCCACCCCCCTTGGAAGACAATTCTCGGGCTTTTATTTCAGGGTTTGTTTTTTTTTTCTGTTTTTTGGTGTGTGTGTGTGTGTGTGTGTGTGTGTGTGTGTGTGTGTGTGTATGTTCTAGGGTTGTTGGTTTGTTGGTTTTTTTTTTTTTGTATTTTCTTTTGTTATTGTACCTCTTTTTGCTTTATCCTCTCCACCCCGCGCTGCCCCCATCCAGTCCCTTCCCCCCCACCCCGACCTCTCCTCCCCCCCTCCCCACCCCCTACACCCTCCCCAACCCCGCGGCACCCATCCAGAATGAACAAGCCCTTGATAGACGGGCGCCGCGCAGGCCCCCTGCGGACGGGGGGCATCCGACAAGGGGGAGGGGGCGGGTAGGGGCCCAGCGCGACCTCTGCCCCCCTCCTTGCCATCCCTCCCCCCTCCCACGACCCTCCCACAAGGTTCCCCGCAGATCCCTGACGTGGTGAGGGGAGAGGGCTGCAAGCACCCTCCCCCCATGGACGGAGCGCCCCCCCCCGGGGGGTAGGGGGCAGCAGAGGGGGAATGGGCTTGGGGAAAGGAGGGGGAGCTCCCTTCTTTGGCAGCTGAACATGGGGGGGACCTGAGGGCGATGCCCTCCCCCCTTTACCGACAGTAGGAGAGGGGGCTTCCCAGGGGAAGGGGTGGCTTAAAGTTCCCAAGCCCCAGGAATAAAGGGAGTGGGGGGAGGGAGGGAGCGTGCAGGAACAGCCATGCTGGAGGAAGAAGGAGCTTCTGGGAGAGAAGGAAAGGTTAGGAGGAGAGGGGGGATCTTCATGCAAAATGGATGGAGAGATGGCCCAGGGAGAACTAGAAAGAGCGAGATGAGAGAGGATGTGCAAGAAGTCACAGACCGGAGCAGAGAGAAGAGGAGGAATGGAGCCCATGGTGAGCAACAAGGGGGCTTGCCTAGGGTCTTCTCTGGCCAGGAGAAGGGGGTGTCGAGAGGGAAGAAAGTAGGCAGGGTACGAAGTCTGCAAGAGCTGTTCCTCACAGGAACCCAAAGTAAGGACGCCGGGCAAAGAGAGTGCAGCCCGAGTGTGTGGACGGAGACATGTGTGCGAGAGGAGAGAGAAGGTAGGGTTCCCCCAGGGAGATGGACAAAGTGACCCCGGAGCTGGCGCGGACAAGTAGACATTCAAGAATGAGTGTGCAGCAAAGCCACGTGCAGGAACATTGTCAGAGGAAGGGCCTGGCTTCGCGAGAGCGATGGGAGCGCTGCGGAGGCTGCGTGTGCAAGGGTGAGGGTGTGAGAAGGTGCACAGAAGAGAATGAAGCAGGACAGAGATCTGGAAAGGAAGGGTCCAAGGCGATGAGGAAGGGAATGAGCATCTGAGAGAGAAGCAGTTCCTGGGGGAGGAGGGAGACAGGTGTATGAGATTCGCCACAGAAGCTACAAGGTGAGAAGGGGGCCAGGGAGGCACGGGGGAGTGTCACTGTGGCAGGGACGGGAGGGGGGCGGTCGAGCAGAAACGTGGGGGTTCAAGAAGGGGCTAATGCTTAAAGAGAATGGATGGCAGCGCACCGGGAAAGGCGCACGGGATAGCAAGTGTGCAAGAACTGAACAAAGACAGGTATGTTCCAGAGAATAAGTATGCGTGCACAGAGTGTGGGAGCGGGTGGGGGAAGGGGTGTCCCAAGTGTGTCTGCAGCAAGGGTTTAGAGATTTTCAGAAGTGAGGTGTGCACGGGAGGGTACCAAGGGCGAGACTCTGAGAGAGGAGGGGTATGGAATGTGGGAGAAGAAATGGAATGTGGGCTAGGGAAAACGCAGGGGTGTTGAGCGCTGAGAGGGCCTCGCGAGCCAGAAGCGAAGGCGGAGTGTGCAAGACAGTGAGAGGGCGAATTTGTGCAAAATTGTAGCCTGGGGAGAGGAGAGAGGCAAGCAGGCGTGCAAAGGGGCGTGCAAGAGGCCGGGGGGGGGGCTGCTGTGTGTGCTGGGGAGAGGGGAGGGTGGGGAGAGCCCAGGGGCCTGGAGAGGGGGGGAAGGGTTGTTAGAGGAGCGGCAGGTGGTGGAATCTGAGGGCACCCCCTTCCCCTGCGGCCGGGGACAAACCCCATCCAATCAGGCTCAGGGCTGACCCTCTATGGCTCTGTCTGTTCCCCCTCCCCGGAACCAACCCTTCCCTCCTTCTCCATCCCCCTCTGCGATTTCCTCCATCACCACCCCCCCTCCCCCCCCCTCCCTGCTTCACACACAGTCTTGTGTCAGCTGCCCCCTCCTGTGAGGTGCAAATGTCTGGCCGGGGATCTGGCCACCTGGTGACCTCCGGCCTTGGGAGACGAGGGCAGGGCGCAGTTCTAGCAGAGTTCCTGGCCCAGGGGGAGAGAATGACGGTCAGGGGTCAGAGGCCAAGAGGCCGGTAGGCTCAAGGGTTCTGTGGACGGGCTGGTCCGTCCAGGCCAGCCATCACCTCTCCAGGAAAAATTTGAGAGCCCGGTCGATGTTCATGCGGTGGCCCACCCTGGTCACACCCAGATCGACGTAATCCTCCTTGGTCAAGGCGGGCAGATGGGAGCCATCGATCTCGTGGTCCAGGAACTGCGCTCGGTGCTCAGCCAAGCCCAGCCACTCGAGCCAGTCAGCCACGTCGAACTTGGTCCAGAACCCCAGAGGTTTAGCGCCGAAGGGCTTGTCCGGGGGCAGCGAAAGCAGGCGGGTTGGTGAGAGGGAGCGGGAGGCCCCTGACAAGGCTCCACCCAGCCCGCCGGACATCCCGGGGTGCGGTGGCACAAAGACAGGGGCGAAAGGGTCAGCGGAGCCTCCTGCCCCTCCGGTTGGGGAGCCACGGATGTCAAAGAGGCCCGGGTACAAGGGTCCAGAAGGCAGGATGGGCAGGGACGAGGGCCTGGGCGCAGGGCTGACCTTGTGCTCCGAGGCGGGCAGCAGTGAGGGGCTGGGAGCCCGGCGGAGCAGAGGCGGCCGCATCTCGAACTCCACGCCCTGGAGGTGGCGGGTGGACGTGGAGGAGGCTGAGGGCGACGCGGCCCCCGGAGCTGCAGCGGCTGAAGGGGAGACCCCAGATCCCGTGGGGAGCGGCGGCAGAGGTGGTTTGGGCCAGTTCTGAAACAGGCTGCTGACGGGTTTGGAGAGGAGCGGGGGCTGGGAGTCTTCCGAGAGTCTGGAATGTGACAAAGGGGCAGGGGCGGAGGAAGGGGGTTCGGAGGGCAGGCAGCGGTGGGGTGAGAAAGAGGCAGAGGTCAAGACACAGGGGAGAGGAGAAGAGACCCCGGAGGCAGGGTAGAGAGATCGAGAAGAGAGATGGGAAGAGATCGGAGGAGTGAGGAGGCAAGACAGGTAGCAGGACACAAATGAAGGGAGAGAAGAACAAGAGGTCAGGGAGAGGGTGACAGTCAAGAGAGATGAAAGAAAAAGAGACATTAAGTGATAATAATAATAATCGCCACCACTTACTGATGCTCACGTGTGCCAGGCATTGTTCTAAGTGCTTTACATATCGCACCTCAGTTTATTCCCCAGGACAACCCTGATGCAGGTTACTATTATTATCAACAGCACAGAGAGGTTAAATAACTTGCCTAAGGACACACAGCCAGGAAGTGGCAGAGCCCAGTTATATGGCACCAAAGTCTGAGCTCTTAACCACTACTCTATACTGCCTTTTGGGGTATGGCCAGTCACAGCAGAGTGGAAGACAGGGAGACGGTGAGAGGGAACGAAAAGAAGGTGAGCGTTCAGGGGAGAGAGATGGAAGGGGACAGGGGACAGAGAAAGGGGAGGGAGAGATGAGGAGAGGGAGATGAAAGAGAGAAGAAACAAGGGGAGGAAAAGGTTCCCCTCATCCCTTTCACTCCCTTTGGGGACAGTCCTGCCTCAGGGCCTTTGAACTGGCCTAGCTCACTTCCTCCCCCGCCCCCACCCCAGGTAGCCACGTGATCTGCTCCCTCCTCTTCTCCAGTTTCTGTTCTTCTAGCTGCTGATTTGAGAGGCCTTCTCTAACCATCCCCCATCCCCTGCCTCGTGAAACAAGTTCTGCGAGGGCAAGGCTTCACCTGTCTTGTCCACTATGGGGTCCCTGTCACCCAGAACGGCACCCAGCACATAGTAGGTGATATATCACTGATGCATCTGTCGACTAAAGAGAGCGTCCTCTCCTCTACCCGGAATCCTTAAAAATAATCAACAGATTGCCTTGAGATCTCAGAGGCCTGATAAAACCACATTCAAATATCACCAAAAGGGTGTCGGACCCTCAAGAGGTAGAGTGAGCTCTGCAGATGGACAAGGGCAAGGGTCAGATTAAGAACCCTCTCCTCTGGGGCGCCTGGGTGGCTTAGTCGGTTAAGCGTCCGACTTTCGCTTAGGTCATGATCTCGCGGTTCGTGGGTTCGAGCCCCGCGTCGGGCTCTGTGCTGACTGACAGCTCAGAGCCTGGAGTCTGTTTCAGAGTCTATGTCTCCCTCTCTCTCTGACCTTCCCCTGCTCACGCTGTCTCTCTCTCTCTCTCCCTCCTAGAAATAAAGAAAAATATTAAAAAAAAAAAAAAAAAGAACCCTTTCCTCACATTCTCCATGTGCCCAAGTCAGGAATGTGACTCTTCTTTCCCTAAGACTAGAAGGTCTTGAATGAGCTCGAACTTCGTGGTGATCCTAGCTAAGCTAGCTGCTTGGGGAAAATTCCGCACGATCCGCATTCATCTGTCCATCTACACGTGCTGGGCTCTGGTGAGCAGCCCCTCCCCCCCCCATCTGGTGTTCTAAC